GTAAATTATAGCTTACATGTTCTATGTCGTTTATCAATTTACACATTGTTTAAATTTAGGTTTTGTCAAGCGTTTTTAAAACAAGCCTTTGGCTCGGGAGACTAAGCGTCTACTCTCATGTTTTGAGACATTAAATAAAGCTATCCTTATCGATTTTTTGACGGAGTTTGCACCGAAAAATTGATTCAAACTAGTTGAGAGTAGCAGGTGTTTTATATTTTAATTTTATGGAGCAAGGAATCTATTACGAAAAAGAAAAAAAAACTTAATTGTCGATATGCCCTGTACAAGCAAATAAGGTCCCAGTCGAGAAGCTTATGATCTGGTGATGTTTATCACATCAAAATGAAAAATCCCTGTGGGAGATGTTACTCTAACTGAGGTCACGTGCCTCCCTTTCGAAATAGCAATTGTGTATTTTCGCTCGTTTTTTTTTCTGGTTTACAATCATATTTAAACCTGCTAGATAGCCGTTACATCATATATTTAAAGACTTGTTACAAAAGTAAGGTTTGTGTCAAAGTTGACCTGAGACCTCAAGATGCATACGCTTTCTATTCTTAAAAGGTTTTCATTTTCTATTCTCTCGGTTTTTTTCTTTTTTCTTTTTTTTTCGTATTTTGGATTTCAAGTCACAAAACAATGAAAAGTGTCAAAGGGTCTTACGGTCAATATTAGTACTATGTGTTGTATGAATGTTTAAATTTGCATGATTGCACGACATTATCCAAGGAAAAAATGTTAATTTTTTTGTTTAAAAATTCTTGTCAACTTATTATTCAGAGAGGTGAGGTATATATATATTTATATATATAGATATATATATATCGCGTGCCTCCCTGGAGGTGTATTGTGTATGTTTGCTCGCGTTTTTTCTGGGTTGAAAACATTTATAAACCTGCTAGACAATCGTTAGAAATAGTTTATAGATTTCCTAAAATTCATTAAAACTTGTTGAGGGTAGCAGGTGCTTTATATTTTGATTTTATGGAAAGAGGAAGTCAATAGAAAAAAAAAGAAAAAAACTTAAATGTCGATATGCCCTGTATAAGCAAATGAGGTCCTACTCGAGAACCTTATGATCTGGTGATGGCTATAACATCAAAGTAAAACTCCCTGTGGGTTATGTTACTCTAACTGAGGTCACGTGCCTCCCTTTCCAAACAACATTTGTGTATTTTTGCTCCCGTTTTCTCTGGGCTGCTACAAAAGTAAGGTTTTTGAAGCTGACCCTTACGAACTGTCAAAGTTGACGTGAGACCTCAATAAAACATACGCTATCTATTCTTTTTAATCGTTCACTGTGGATCGGTTGGTTTCGTGTTATATTGCCTGCAATTCACAGCCTGCGTGCCAAAGCCTTAACTTCAGGCTGAGTGATAAAACTTGCCAGTTTAACAGAGAAACTAAGACTTCCTGCCCAGCCAGTCTGAAGCAGAATGAAGGGTTTATCTATGCTGATAACCCAGATTGAGGTGAGAATATCTTAAGAACAAATTTTTTTCCTGGTTATTTCGACAACCGAAGAAATTGGAAGACGTAGCGTCAAGGGAATTGGTTACGTAATGAGTCCAATTAGTTACAAGGTCTCAAGAAATGCAAAAAGTCTACGTCATTCCGTCAAAGAGTATTAAAAAGAAACTAAGATTTCCTGCCCAGCCAGTCTGAAACAAAATGCAGGGTTTATTTTTGCTGATAACCCAAATCGAGGTGAGAATATCCTTAAAACACTTTGGTTTTTTTATCGGTGCGTGTTTATTAAAAAGTATATGGTTACATTTTTTTCATGGATCTGCCATAGTGTTATCAAGGAAACTTTTGTTGACCAGCAAACTTTTATTCCTTGTTACTCGAACAAATGAAGAAATTGGAAGATATAATTTCAGGGGAATTGGTTACGTAACGAGTCCACTTAGTTCTAAGTTCTCAAGAATACGTAATTAGTCTGTGTCATTCCGTCAAAAATTAGACTTCCACCGTTATAGTTGCTAAAATCTAACTTTCATTCGTGAAATAGACCCATTTTTAAGAACCCAAACGGCATAACAACTGCCCTATTAAAAACACCCTTTAGTTATGGTATTATTGAAACTTGTCTTTAACTGCAAATTATGATGTAGATCAATAGGTTGTAACAAGTATTTTCATTTATATAAATGTTAATTGTGTTGTTTACAATTGTATGGTATGTTGATTACTCATGCAAAGTATGATGATTTGTTTGCATATTTTTGGTTGCAGCTCTTCTCGGGTCAGTTCCCTTCAAAGCTGCAAAGTCCTGTCAACATATCATTCAGAGTGGAGATTCTACTGGGAATGGAGAATACTGGGTCGACCCACAAGGCACTGGGAACTCCTTCAAGGCTTTTTGTGACATGACAACTGATGGAGGTACCTCAGTCTTTTTTTTGTTTTTTGTTTTCAAATTTTGGGTTTTTTTTCTTCGTGGTTTATATAACCAGGCTTTTTTTATCGATAGGAGGCTGGATGATGGTGTTGAACGTTATTTCGCCAAGCCCCCAATCTTCAAGGTGGAATGGCACAGCTGAACAAACGTTTCAAGGTATGCGTAACTACGCAAACGGCAAAATGGCTATAACCAAAAGCGCCATGAAACAACTAAGAGCGTACATAAACTTTACCCAAATAAGATTTCACTGCAGCAAAGAAAAAGGAACAAGATTCCACGTCCGAACGACTCTGAACAACAAAGGTACAGAAGTGGTGCGATTTTTCAGCGGTGAAAGAGATGAGATGCCAGACTCGTGCGACTCCTTCGTCCGTATGGATGGTGATAACTCAAGACTGGCTCAGAATTGTGCGATATGGGCAAATGATGGTAAGTGGGGACATGTCAAGCATAGTGTTGGAGAGAATTGTCTGTACAACCACGCAGCATTTGTGGGCGGCAAGTATCATTGGATAATTTCTACTAGTGGCAACTGGAATTGCGATGATCGTACTAGCAACAACCTGTCTACTGGAGACTTTTGGAAAGTTTATGTCCGTTGAAATACACATTCTTGGAATAACTTTGTACTAGGACAAAGAAGAAGCGAAAAAGAGAAAAAGTCAAATAAAAACTCAAATGTATATTAACCACTCTCTGGCCACATGCCTGACAGTCGAAGGATTTCAAATTTGATCTTGTAAGTCAACCAAAAACATTATCTCGTTGGATATGGCTTATATGTGGCTCAGCCACCTTATACGGTCTTCTCACGTGCACATCCTTTGTATACATGATTCCCCTCACATGGAACCTACTTTCGTTTTCTGTAAAGTCTTGAACTATTATGTAACAATTTCGCTCTAGCCTGGTCAATGTCTAGTGTTTAGGGTGCCAGTTATTTAACTGTACATAAAATCTGACATTTTAACTCTTAATTTGTAAGTTAGTATAAGTATGGATATTAGTCTTAGTGTGATTTTTATTACTATATACCGCACAGGTGAATAGTGGTTTTCGGGTGCCCCTGTATGCTGGTTCAGAAGCTCAGGTTAATTAAGGCCTGGGTCACCCTGTCTTTAACCCATATTTTCACAAAATTGAGAATAACTTAGCTATTTTGCGAAGGATTTTCTCATACTTGGCAGAAATGTGTATCACTACCATCTCTCTCGGACTGAATTGTGGCAGCGTAATATGATACTCTCAACAGCCAAAAACAGTTAATTTAGGCGCCAAATTCGTCGGTTGCTTTCTTGAGCAAATTCCCACCACTAAACACAAGGCAAATCAAAATGCAGTTATCGCTATGAATATTTGAGACGCTTTTCATTGTTTTCCCACTTGGAATGGCTGCCAAAAAAAAAGAGAGATGTGCTAGGCAGATTAAATCAAGTTTTGTCTCTGCGAAGCTGCTTCCTCTATCATGGTTTTCGCCCGAAAACATCTTAGCCTTTACCTGGTGCCAACCGCTATCAACGAAAGTAATCCCACAGGTTCCTATTTATTTGGAAAAAAAGACCAACTAAAACTGTTTAAGAGGTGGGAATTTTGAAAACTCACAGTCACGTAATTCAACTTAGTGTCCGCCATTTTGACACGCGAGTGTTCAGAAGCAATAATTTAACGGCTGATACACCACCAAATACTAATTGGAGCAATCTCAGAAGCAATACAGGCAAACTTTGTATACTTTTGATGGTATTTATTTCTTTTTCTCGTTTTCTGAGGTCGATTGCATCTCTGTAAATCCAGGGTTAGATCGCCTTTGACAGTTCTAATAAATCACAATTGCAAATTTGGGCGGTAAGAATAAAGAATGTTTGTAATTTTATCCCAAGTAGTATCATATGACGAGACTGAATTACAATTTTGGCGCAAAAATTGAAATTTATCGCGAGATACGCACACTGATTCCTTGAAACTCTTCAAGGTTTTGTTCCCTAACAACGGTACTACTCGATAACGAGCTAAGTGTATTCGTGTGAAACGAAAATGTCTGTCATTTTTAATTGTGGATTTGCAAGAGTTGCTGTAAAGGAGAGCTTTCGTAAGGTTGGAAGTGCTTCGGTTGAAACTAACCCTAGTGAAAAGTGGAAGAACTATCTTGCAGCGTTCGAGGGTGACAGTCAGGAAGTCTTTGCGGTCGAACATTCCACTTACGTCAAGAAATCCAAAGCAATTTACAGCTCTTTCCGAAAGATGAACTCTGGAAAGCTCTTAATACAGCGCAGAAGAAACAGCACACACTGTCAAATTGTGGAGGTTGTCAAGTGCACTATTATGCCATCCATAATTTTTTCCCTAGTGGAGAAACTCTCAAAACCCGAAAACTTTTAAAAGAGGCCCTTATTGAAAGTGGGGTGAAGACACAAAGTAAAGTGAAACCAACGCAAAAAGCCATTAAAACTGCTGTAAAACACATTTATTCAAAAGTGAATGGCCACTTTGAGAAAATATTTAAAATAAGCTTTGCTCAAGCACAAACAAAAGTGAAGGAACTTCAGCTCCAAAAAAAGAAAGACGCAATTGAAAAAAAAGGCAGCGTCGAGGGAGAGCACGCCAAGAAAAAAAAAAAACCAATGCTAATGTCTTGTCCATCTGGAGGAGGAGTAATGTTTCTAGTTACTTTGCCGTAATTTGCATGCCAAACAATGAGATCAACAATCTTCACCTTTACTTGTGTTGCAATCTAGCATTTATTTAAAATAAGCACACTCTCTATAATATATTTGCCTTCATTTTCCAGTTTTTTAAAAGGAATGCAAGTACCAAATATTCCACTGTAAACTTAATCAATCATACTGAACTTCTTCCAACCAATGGAGAGAATATAATACTGGGAGAAGGATCCTATGGTCGATGCCTTCTGAGACAGTACACACGATTTGATATAAAGGTTGTGGAAAAACAGTCTCTGATGCAGGACACCACAGAGATAATGAAGGAGGCTCACATTATGCAGGCACTCGCACCTAAAAATATCCCAACCATAATAGGTGTGCAGCTTCAAAAGCAGCCCATTTCCTTAATAATGGAGTTTAAAGGGGAAGACAATACATCTGTAACAATAAGCAAACTATTGTCTTGTCAGAAAAACAGTGCAACAATACAGAATGTGCAAAGCTCACTCATAACAAATGACTGGTTAATTATTTCACATGATTTGACAGAAGCCCTTTCACATATTCACACAAAAGGCTTTCTTCACTGTGATTTGAAGGCTAATAATGTTCTTGTGAGTAACAAACATGGCTACATCATCGATTTTGGAAAAACATGTGACAGCTCCTTTCCTCCTGCAAAGAAGTACAGCATCTGTTATCCTCATATTGCTCCTGAGGTTGTTAATGGTTCTCCCTGTAGCAAAGCCAGTGATATTTTTTCCCTTGGTAAAATTCTGTTTAAAGTAGGTGTTAAGCAAAACATTCCACTTTTGGTTTCCATGGCTCAAGAATGTTTGGATGCCAGCCCTGTAAGAAGACCAACAACAACAGGCATTATGGCAACACTGGCTTCCATAATATCTCACTGAATACTATAAGCTTAAGCAGGGGTTTCACGGGCCTGACACTGGGCAAATTGACTGGCTGGGAACATAATTTTTCCTGCATGTTGTGACTGACATAAATCAGAATCAAAACATATTTTGTCTGCTTCCTTGTACATTTCCCATCACCTCAAAATCTTAATGAAACACTCTAATCAGGTAAAGTGACCCTAGCCATGTCACGGCAGGAGTCTTTTTATTGGGCTTTGCAAGGTTAAAATTACAATGTATGTGCATGTCTTTAGCAAGTTTATGTGTGCCCTTGGTCTAAACTAATTTTGTACTTCTGCTTTATGAATTGTGATTGAATGTTAAAGGGACATTTTTAATAATGCACAGATAAGGTGCTCTAGGGTCCATCAGGTACAAATTACTTCATAGGTCATACACATGTCTATAATTTTACATTGCTGCTAGATAACACACATGTACTTATTTATTTCCCAATTCCTGCCAATTATTGATCTATGAAATTGAATTTAGGCAAGCAACTGGCAGATCAAACTTAAAATTATAAACCAGAGTTTTAACCAGTTAGGCCACCATAGCCTTCTAACAGGAATATTGACTTGGAAGAGCAACAAAAAAAGCAAGAAATACAATTTTAAAATTTTCCTTTCTGACTTTGTAACAAGGGCAACCTATCCTGCTCTTAAGATGGCACATCATTTATGAGTAGGGCTGAGAAGATGACACATCTTATACCAGTTTGTGTTTGCTCTTGTCACAAAAAAAAACAGTGCCCCACTTGGGGCAACAGTAAGCACTGATAATTAATCATGTCTTATCAACAAACAGAGAAGGCTATGGTCAGAATCATATGCATGTATCAGAACTTTTGTGATGCATTTGAATTAAAAGATACTCCACTGGTGTAGTGGGTAGAATATTTACATTCAAATAGACACATATATCAATTACAAGTCCATCATTGATAATGATTGTTGCAATTATTACAGGTAAAAACTTAAAAACCAAACTGTTGACTATAATTAAAACTGATATAACATGATTTAAAAACCAAAAAAATGCCTCATAAATAACACCATTAACATGCTTGTAATAAATTAGTTGTGTGGAATAACTGGAAGGACCTCTTCAAGAAAATAAATAGGGATAACAGTAAATAAAACTGGTTTTAATCAAGTAGATTCCCTTTGGAATCTGCAAGGGCTGGCTGGTTTTCTGTGTGAGTAATTAAAATTATTATTATTATATATTTATAGAAATTCAGTAAGGGACCTCGGAATAAACTAACACACATTAGTACAGCTTTTTTCTCTTAGTTTTCAAGGAACAATTTATGACAAGACAATCTGCATCTTACATGTCAGCAATTAAACTTACCTAACAACTGCTTTGGGGGATTACGTTTGTCAGTAAATTCATCTGCTTCTTGGAGAAATTGTTTCCAAAGCATTCAAAAGCCTAAATTTTGATAAACACCATAAGTTTACACATCATGATGTGATAGAGGATTTATCAAGCTAAATTTAATTTCAAAATTGAATGGTATATCCACAATGAAACTTTTTCTATGCATTTGTTACAAAACATAGTACTTTTTTCTATGCAAAAGTTACAAACATTGTAAAACGCTATTGAGCTCTAGAAATGAGCGCTATATTATAAATTTATGTTGCATTGTATTTGCAGTGAAATCAATGAACATGTTGAGAGCGGTGTTTGTAGTCTTCGTAGGTTCAAAAGGGTTCTCTTTGGCTTTAATATAGCGATATCATGCCATTTTTTGAGGAAATGAAGATAGGAAAAGAAAATGTTATTACCTTCTTTTAATGTCTTCCTCTAGATTGTCGGATTCACCAGCGAAGATGGGAAAAACCAATGCAAAGCTGTCACTTCAAAATGGCGGATGCCGTTCACGAACTACGCGATCTTGATTCCAAGTAACTATGGTTACTCGCGCAGTCCACGCGAATTCCGCGAACCTTGCTGGGGGGGGCACTGGAGGCGAAAATCATTATTGACCCAGGCCTTAATTAACCTGAGAGATCTATTACCCCAGAATTGCCGAAGAGACAAAATCGCGCGTCAACTATTTGATTTCTGACCATTATTTGTTATATTGACAGATATAAACTTATCTTTTTGGTTTCTATGTAGTACACACAAGACAGATATTCACCTTTGTTCACTGAAAGTGGTATTATTTACCTCCACTTCAGTAAATAAAAGTTAATAATAGCTTATATATTCTTCATCGTTTATTAATATACATATTGAAATTAAGAGATCCTCGCAGCTAGGAACACTACTGAAACGAGTAGTTGTAAATAGGACCTGAAAAAATTCAGGCCCGTACGGGATTTGAACCCATGACCTCTGCGATACCGGTGCAGCGCTCTACCAATTGAGCTAACAAGCCAACTGGGAGCTGGTCAATGAATTGGGTCCAAATAAACATCCAAGTGAATGAAAATTTAAGATATATGAAAATTCACATATTTGCACTGCGGTGGAAAGTTTAATTAACAGATCCTCGCAGCTAGCTATAGGAACAGTACTGAAACGAGTAGTTGTAAATAGGACCTGAAAAAATTCAGGCCCGTACGGGATTTGAACCCATGACCTCTGCGATACCGGTGCAGCGGTCAGGTCCTATTTACAACTACTCGTTTCAGTAGTGTTCCTAGCTGCGAGGATCTCTTAATTTCATCTTTCCACCGCAGTGCAAATATGTGAATTTTCATATATCTAAAATCTTCAATATACATATTGTTTGAAAAAAGTTTTGTCGAGTGTTTTTAAAACAAGCCTTATGTTTGGAAGACTAGGCATTCACTCCCATGTTTTAGACATTAAATAAATTTATCCTTATCCATATTTTCACAGAGTTTGTATCAAAAATTCATTCAAACTGATTGAGAGTAGCAGGTGTTTAGTATTTTAATTTTATGGAAAGAGGAATGTAAGTATATAAAAGAAAGAAAAAAACTCTATAGTCGATATGCCCTACAAGCAAATAAGATGCTAGTCGGGAGCCTGATAATCTTGTGATGTTTATGACATCATATTGAAAAATCCCCGTGGGATACGTTACTCTAACTGTGGTTGCGCTCCTCCCTTTTGAAATAACAATTGTATTCTTTTGTTTTCTTTCCTTACTGGTCTAAAAACATATTTAACCCTGTTACATAGTCGTTAATTGATAGATTTGTAGACTTGCTATAAAAATAAAGCTTTCGAAGTTGACCCTTACGAAATGTCAAAGTTGGACTGAGACCTCAAGATGCATGCGCCATCTATTTTTAAAAGGTTTTCATTTTCTTTTCCTTTGTTATTTTTATTTTGGATTTTAGGTCACAAAAGAATGCAAAATGTCAAAGGGTGTTACGGTCAATATTAGTATTATGCGTTGTATGACAGTTTAAAATTGCTTAATTGCACGCCATTACCAAAGAAAAAATGCTAATTTCCCTGAAGCAGGTGCTAACGATACTAGATGGATGTTTTCAAATAAAAGTTCAACAGCTGCAAACTGCCTTCTAGCCATATGCCTGACAGTCGAACGATCTTAAATATGACAGTATTTTCACATCTAAGTCAAATAAACACAATCTCCTTTGATCTGGCTTATACGTTTTGTTCAGCCACCTTACATGGTCTTCTCACGTGCACCTCATTTTGTATACATGATTCCCCTCACATAAAACCTTCTTTTGTTTTCCTTGAAGTCTTGAGCTGTTATGTAACAATTTTGTTCCAGCCTGGTCAATGTCAAGTGTGGAGGGTGCCAGTTATTTAACTATTGTATTTTTTTTAGTTTTTAATTTTTTCACACCCTCCCCTGTGTATATTTCCATTCACGCGCTTATATTTTTTACATTCGTTAAAGGCTATAGTATCATAGCCGAAAGCTCATATTTTAAAACCTTTTAACCAGAGAACGTTTTTTTTTTTTAATTTTTACCTTTTTCGCAATGTGCACACTGTTTAAATTTAGGTTTTGTCGAGCGTTTTTACAACAAGCCTTTGGTTCGGGAGATTAGGCGTCCACTCTCATGTTTTAGACATTAAATATAGCTATCCTTATCGATATTTTGACGGAGTTTGCACCGAAAAATTGATTCAAATTAGTTAAGAGTAGCAGGTGTTGTATAATTTAATTTTATGGAGCAAGGAATCTATTACGAAAAAGAAAAAGGTTTTTTACTTGCCATAAAAATAAAGCTTTCGAAGTTGACCCTTACGAAATGTTAAAGTTGGACTGAGACCTCAAGATGCATGAGTTATCTATTTTTAAAAGGTTTTCATTTTCTTTTCCTTTGTTATTTTTATTTTGGATTTTAGGTCACAAAAGAATGCAAAGTGTCAAAGGGTGTTACGGTCAATATTAGTATTATGCATTGTATGACAGTTTAAAATTGGTTAATTCCACGCCATTACCAAAGAAAAAATGCTAATTTCCCTGAAGGAGGTGCTAATGATACTAGATGGATGTTTTCAAATAAAAGTTCAACAGCATATAAACTGCCTTCTGGCCATATGCCTGACAGTCGAACGATTTTAAATTTGACAGTATTTTCACATCTAAGTCAAATAAACACAATCTCCTTTGATCTGGCATATACGTGGTTCATTTTCTTTTCCTTTGTTATTTTTATTTTGGATTTTAGGTCACAAAAGAATGCAAAGTGTCAAAGGGTCTTACCGTCAATATTAGTATTATGCGTTGTATAACTGTTTTAAATTGCATGATTGCACGACATTATCAAAGAAAAAGAATGCTAATTCCCCTGTAGCTAGTTAGTTCGAATTCTCCGTGGCGCGAACAGTTACTGGCGATACTAGATGGATGTTTTCTCGTTCTGGTTCATTTTGGCATCATATTCGGTTAAAACATTTGCTCAGCGATGTAAGGTAACGCAACGATCTGAACATGGCTTAGTTCTCCTTGATCACGTTTTCAAATCGTTCACCGTGGATCGTTTGGCTTCGTGTTATATTGCCTGCAATTCACAGCCAGTGTGTCAAAGCCTTAACTTCAGGCTGAGTGACAAAACTTGCCAGTTTAACAAAGAAACTAAGATTTCCTGCCCGGCTTGTCTGAAGCAGCATGAAGGGTTTATTTATGCTGAAAACCCAGATAGAGGTGAGAATATCCTTAAAACAAATTTTTTCCCTTGTTATTTCGACAACTGAAGAAATTGGAAGACATAACTTCAAGGGACTTGGTTACGTAATGAGTCCACTCAGTTACAAGGCCTCAAGAAACGCAGAAAGTCTGCGTCATTCCGTCAAAGAGTATTAAAAGGAAACTAAGATTTCCTGCCCAGCCAGTCTGAAACAAAATGCAGGGTTTATCTATGCTGATAACCCAGATCGAGGTGAGAATATCCTTAAAACATTTGGGCTTTTGTATCGTTCTGTGTCTGTTAAGAAGGTTATGGCTACATTTTTTTACATGGTTCTGCCATAATGTTACCAAGGAAACTTTTGTGAGCTAGCAAACTATTTTCTTTGTTACTTCGACAACTCAAGAAATTGGAAGACATAATTTCAAGGGACTTGGTTACGTAATGAGTCCACTTAGTTCTAAGGTCTCTAGAATACGTAATTAGTCCGCGTCATTCCGTCAAATAGTAAACTTTAACCATTAAATTTGCTAGAATCTAACCTATCGACAAATGGACCCATTTCTAAGAGCCAAACGGCATAAAAACTAAACAATAAGGAAGACCGTTTAGTTATCGTATTATTAAAACTTTTACTTGCTTGTCATCAACTGCAAATTAAGATGTAGAGCGATCAATACGTTGTAACAAGTACTTTCATTTATAAATGTTAATTGTGTTGTCTACAGTTGTAATATGTTGATTACGCATGCAAAGTATAGTGATTTGTTTGCATATTTTTCGTTACAGCTTTACTTGGGTCAGTTCCCTTCAGAGCTGCCGAGTCCTGTCGACATATCATTCAGAATGGAGATTCCACTGGGAATGGAGAGTACTGGGTCGACCCACAAGGCAATGGGAACTCCTTTAAGGCTTTTTGTGACATGACAACTGATGGAGGTACCTTGGTTTTTTTTTTTTCCGTTTTCAAATGTTGGTGTTTTTTCTTTGATCTTTATATAGCCAGGGTTTTTTTCAATTAATAGGTGGCTGGATGATGGTGGTAAACATTATTTTAGCAAGCTCTCAATCGTCATGGTGGAATGGCACAGCTGAACAAACGTTTCAAGGTATGCGTAACTACGCAAACGGCAAAATGGCTATAACCAAAAGCGCTATGAGCCAACTAAGAGCGTACATAAACTTTACCCAAATAAGATTTCACTGCAGCAAAGAAAAAGAAACAACATTCCACGTCCGAACGACTCTGAACAACAAAGGTACGGAAGCTGTGCGATATTTCAGCGGTGAAAGAGATGAGATGCCAGACTCGTGTGACTCCTTCGTCCGTATGGAAGGCGATAACTCAAGACTGGCTCAGAATTGTGCGACATGGGCATATGATGGTAAGTGGGGACATGTCGCAAATGGTGTTGGAGAGAATCGTCTGTACGATCACGCAGCATATGTGGGCGGCAAGTATCACTGGATAATTTCTGTTGATGGCAACTGGGACTGCGATGATAATACTAGTGACAACCTGTCTACTGGAGACTTTTGGAAAGTTTACGTCCGATGAAATACATATTCTTGCAATAACTTTGTATTAGGACGAAGCATAAGCGAAAAAGCCAAAAAGTCAAATGGAAATTTAAATGCATATAAACTACTCTCTGGTCACGCGCTTGACAGTCGAATAATTTTAAATTTGATAGTTTTTTGATCTTGTAAGTCAACCAAATTCACAATCTCCTTGAATCTGGCTTATACGTGGCTCAGCCACCTAATATAGTCTTGCCACGTGCACCTCCTTTCTATACATGATTCCCCTCACATTGAACCTACTTTCGCTTTCCGTAAAGTCTTGAACTATTATGTAATAATTTCGCTCTAGCCTGGTCAATGTCAAGTGTTTAGGGTGCCAGTTATTTAACTGTACATAAAATGTGACATTTTAACTCTTAATTGTAACCAAAAGCGCTATGAACCAACTAAGAGCGTACATAAACTTTATCCAAATAAGATTTCACTGCAGCAAAGAAAAAGGAACAACATTCCACGTCCGAACGACTCTGAACAACAAAGGTGCAGAAGTGGTGAGATATTTCAGCGGTGAAAGAGATGAGATGCCAGACTCGTGTGACTCATTCGTAACAATTTCGCTCTAGCCTGGTCAATGTCAATTGTTCAGGGTGCCAGTTATTTAACTGTACATAAAATGTGACATTTTAATTCTTAATTTATAAGTTAGTATTAGTATGGATGTTAGTCTTAATGTGATTTTCATTATTATATACCGCACAGATAAATAGTGCTTTTCGCGAGTCCCTAAGTTGTGGTTAAGAAGTGATCGGCAGGTACTATTCACCTCCGAGCAGCCGAAGAGGCAAAATCGCGCGTTAACAATTTAAGTGTAGATGCTTAAACGAAATTCAGCTACCAGCGGCCAGAGTGGAAACTTTTTTCCGCTCATATTTTGCTTATCGATAGGTATTGGTAAGTAACTAAACGTGATGTAGTTTGTTTTCATAAAGGCCGCTTTAATTTGGAGAAAATCGAAAAATCTGTTTTTGCTGTCGGCGACGTCAGAACAGCCAGAACTTAAGACGAAGTGGGCTGTTCTCAAAATTTCGCTTGCATGCAAAAGGGAAGAAAGAGAGATAAATATTTTGGTTATCCTTGTTTCTTCTTCCCATGTCAACATTATGCTCAACGAACTTGAGGCAGAGAACCTTTTAACTTCACCCGGGAACTTCAGCTGTCGAGCATTTTATCGGAAATGTTAGATTCGATCAACCTTTCTTTGCGATTTAATTTTACATCTTGTACACCTTCAAAGTTTAAACTTTTAAAAATCTCAAAATAGTTTACAGTTGAACGTTCCAGTAGTCAAGGGCACTTTTGTCTTTAATTATGTTGTAGCCCTGCTGTGGAGTAGCGTGACAGAACAAAATTATTCCTTCCGTGAGGGTGTAGAGAAACAACGACGCGAAAAAGCGCCGCTCCTGTTTCCGTTGTTTTCGATTTCACTTCAAGTGGACATTTTATAATTCTCTCGCATCCTTTTCTTCAAATTTCGACTGTCCATCAAGCCGTAAATATATATATTTTAACAAAATATGGGGTCTTACAAATTTAAAAAACTTTTCACAAACTTAAAAACAAACAATCAAAAACGATCTCTTGAGTTAAGTTTTCTATGAGACTTTTGCTGTAAAGCACTGTACTGTTATGCCGATGTTTATCGGTTGACCTTCATAATGTGACACATTGCTATCAGACATCTTCTCGTCGTGTATATCAGCCAGAACTGATGCGAGCAACTCACAACGATCGCAGATTTTTAGATGATCATGTGGAGAGGTCATCTGATAATCTTTGTCCTTTGGATCGCTCAGGGCATATGCTCTGCAATGGTCTGGAATGTTGGATTGCTTCAAAACGTGCCCCCTGCAAAGACAATATCAGTTAGTCATACATAGTAAATAGTAACCTTTTTTATGTTTTTGTCAGCACATGAAATAAAATATGCTTCACTAACGAGTAAAAATGCAATTTCAAAGCCGTCTTTAAGAAACTTCGAACGTTCTAATCACATGACCAGTGACATAACAACCTGAAGGTCGCATAGAGTGTATTTTCATAAACAGTTACCAACACGTCAGATTAAGTTTCTGTTTGTTCCAACAAAGAAAAGATATAACCCCCAACGTAGTCTCCCACATTTTTTCGCTTAGGCAAACTGGCCACGTCTAAATGCTCTATAACATTACTCTTTCAAATATGCGAAGTGCTTTCAGTTGCTCAGAGCATGTCCTCGCACTGGGATAAAATGCACTTTTACACATGGTCACGTGATTGATGGCCTCATCACACCACGTTTGCGGAAAATACATGCTTCAGGTCAAGTTTCTTTTATTCAAGCTTGAACCTGTTTGTTGACATCTCTATACATGCATATCATAAATTTCTTTTTAAATTTTACTTTAAAATCGACCTTCAGATAATGCTTTGCAGACTTCAGGCGCTCCTTTAGTTCCCTTACCTTAGACATTCCCAGAAATTCGTCGCCAATCTGTTTACTACGTCAGCGACATCGTCGAAGGCTTGACTTTCGCAGAACTTATCTAATCGAGACTTTGAAGAGACTTTCGTACTGAGGCGGAACAAAAAGTCAGGATTCGCGATGATGAGACAACATTGAGGGCTCCTTACACTTTTCCGGAACACTGCACTGTCCATCCAATACCTAGGGATGTTCTATGTGCTGAATAGACTGTCGTCTGATCAATATTTTGGAGAGAGAAGGTGGTTGCTCTCGCCCGAATCAAGTCAACTTTATTATCTATGCCATGAAACGCAAACATCGCCTTGCGGCCGGTTACATTCTGCTGATAGCTAAGCAGTGGAATACATTCCTTTGCTCTGTTCCTGTTTCTTCTGTCGTGACCACTTCGGCCTCCCACAATCGATAGAAATAAACGAGTATTTTCCATAATTCTTAGGTGGCTTGAACCAGTTTCCGTGTATTCGGTTCTTTAAGTTTATTGACGCAGATGTCAGAAACTGATTGTTGTAAAATTAAATTAATTACCAGCCAGACAATGTCTGTCTTAGAAGTATGTAATCGTAAAGATATAAAAAGATATAAAGGTGGAAAAGTTTAAAAGGTTTATAAACAGTGCTGTTTTTTGCTATTTTAATAAAACAATCCCTTTTTTCAGTCAGCCGGAGCAGACAGAAGGATTTTGCTCTATGTCACGCAACTCTGCTTCTTATCGGTTTATCTCCTCAACTTACAACTCTGTTGTAACTAAATTAGAGGGTGGCAACGTCAATCAAATTGAAGTTGTTCATTCAGCCAACAAAACTTGTCACAATTGAATGTTTGTACTAATATATCGTATTTAAGAAGTACGTTAAATTTCGGTTTGGAAAAAAGTTATCGTTCCCTTTCAGCAAAAAACAAGACGTTTACGTTAAATATTCAAATGTCTCGTATTTCAACTAAATTTTGTTCAACTTCAGAGAGTTCGCGTGAGGCGCAAACTGCTAATTTGAATATTTACCACCAAACTAGAAGTAAAACCCTCTATAAACTCATGCATCTGAAAATATTTTATCTCGCTTTCTTCCCTTTTGCATGCAAGCGAAGTTTTGAGAAAAGCCCAATTCGTCTGAAATTTTGGTTGTTCTCAAGTCGCCGACAGCAAAAATAGATTTTATTGATTTTCTCTAAATTGAAGCGGCCTTTCTGAAAACAAACTACATTACGTTTAATTACTGACCAATAACTATCCATAGGCAAAATAACAGCGAAAAAAAAAATAAGGCTCTGGCCGCGAAATTTTAGTTTTGCTTGATTTTTATAGGCATTGGCTCTTAAATTCTGACCAGTTTCTGATGTATGGACAGAAAAAACTAGTGCATACAAAACAGTTATTCACCTCAGTGAAAATGATAGATATCTACCTCCACTTCGATGAATAATTGTTTATCATAGCTTATATTCTCCATCGTTCATTAATGTACTCATTGTTTACGACATTAAATAAAGTTATCCTTATCCATATTTTCAAGCAGTTTGCACTGAAAAATTGATTTAAACTTCTTGAGAATGGCAGGTGTTTCATATTTTAATTTTAGGGAGAGAGGAAAATAAAGCGGAAAAAAAAAACTTTATTTTCGGTGTGCCCCTGCGTGCCTATACAAGCAGATAAGGTGCCAGTCGAGAGCCTTCTCATCTGGTGATGTTATCACACCAAAGTAAAAAATCCCTGTGGGATATGTTATTCTAACCGTGATTGCGTGCCTCCCTTTCGAAATAACAATTGTGTATTTTTGTTTTCTTTCTTTTCTGGTTAAAAACATATTCAAACCTGCTAGATAGTCGTTGATTGATAGATTTGAAGACTTGCTACAAAAGTGAAGCATTCAGAGCTGACCCTTACGAAATGTCAAAGTTGAACTGAGACCTCAAGATACATGCGCTATCTATTCTTTTTTTTTTTTTTGTATTTTGTATTTCAGGTCAAAAAATATTGCAAGGTGTCAGCAGTATGTGTTTTATGACTGTTAAAAATGCATGATTGCACGACATCATCAAAGAAAAAAATGCTAATTTCCCAATAGCCGGTTGGTTTCGAGGTCTTTGGGGCACGAACACAGTCAAGACTGCAAGTACTGACGATACTAGATGGATGTTTTCTCGTTCTGGTTCATTTTAACATCATATTCGGGGAATACATTTGCTCAGCGATGTAAGTTAACGCAAAGATCTGAACATGGCTTGGTTCTCCTTGATCACGTATACAAATCGTTCACTGTGGATCGGTTGGTTTCGTGTTACATTGCCTGCAATTCACAGCCTGCGTGCCAAAGCCTTAACTTCAGGCTGAGTGACAAAACTTGCCAGTTTAACAAAGAAACTAAGACTTCCTGCCCAGCCAGTCTGAAGCAGAATAAAGGGTTTATCTATGCTGATAACCCAAATCGAGGTGAGAATATCTTTAAAACAAATTTTTTTCCCTTGTTATTTTGACAACTGAAGAAATTGGAAGATATAACTTCAAGGGACTT